CACTTTCATGCCATTAGCCTCTTCAACTTTAATGTTTCTGCCCTCACAGCCAATATAACTCAATTTATCCTTGAAGTTATAGCTGCTTCTAACTTTACAGATGTTTGAAGTAGATTTAATAATAGTCTGATCGAGATCTATATCTGTTTACACGTCACGTCTTCGCCCCTCACAGAAGAATTAAAAGTGTAACATGCAGACAATGAGCAGAACAAAGATCCTGCTGCGTGCTGAGATTGAGCCCGAGGCTTTTATTGATGTGAACAAAGATAAGACGGAGCTTCGTCGACTTCTAGAGGATGTAATCTCAGAGGGATTGTGTTTGAATAACACGCCAAATTAAGCGTGCGATTTCTGCACATTGCATGATTTCTGCATGTTTTTGTTCGGGTCAGAGTAATTTCATTCCTCTGCAGATGTCTCTGGGATGTAATCGATCCACATTTGTTTGCAAAGTAAATGTTCTGTAGACGTCCGGGCTCAATAAAACTGTTTCGACGACACCACCGAGCTCAGACACTGAAATTTATCTCCGTCATTGAAAGTCGTCTTTAAAAACCTTTGCAGCCAAATTCATCCCAGTTTTAACCTTGTTGTCTGGACATCGTTTGACCAGCGGATGAACGAATCAGAACCAACTCAGGCACCTTGTGTCGATGGTTCAGCTCAGTTCGAGCAAAAACGAGACAGAGAGGAACGCAGAGACAAACAGACGGAGAGAGAGGAGGCCATTAGGAGGACGATACGGACTGAGACATGGAAGTAATGGTGAAGACAGAGAAGCCCGACAGCGAAGATTGTAAAGGACAATGTGGGGAAAGTGCAACTGAGGGAAGGAGCGAGAGTTTAGAGGACGGAGGCGATTCCTCACTCTGTAATTATGTGTATTTCTGTGAGTGTTCGTCTCCTGACCTTCAGCCACGTTGTTAGATTTCATCATTAGAATCTCACTTCTTCACGGTCGAGCACGTCACTTTAAAAACTCAGCAGAGATCAAACCTCTTTTTTTTTTTTTACTGAATCCACATTATCTCGGCTACGGCTCGGAGCTGGTAACAGGTTTGTAAAAAGTCCTAACTCATGGTGACCCAACAGAAATCAGCTGATCCTGATTTTCTCAAAAAGCCAGATATCACTTTAGATTCATGGGTTCCTCACTTTTACCTGAATGAAACGGACGAGACTGAATAGAAGATATTGTCGGACACACACACATCTCCTATTTTTAACAAAGATCTAAATAGATATCTGTGACCCCACAACTTTCCATCCTGTTCTCTCTCTCTTCTTTTCTCTCAAACTTAGCCCAAGATACCGTCTTCATTTACAAGATAATTACCAAAGTCTGTGAATAAAGATGGACGGCACACCTCTACTTGATATATGATATATATCATATCATCTCATAACTAATTAAAACACTGGAATAAACATCAGTGTGATTACAACCTCAAATAAGAGTTTTATTTAATGTCTAATGTTTGGTGCATGTCCCATCTGCTAACGTGGAGTTTATAACGTCTACTCGGGAGCTGTCACATCCTCCGTCTTCATAAACTCTATGTCTCTGTTCTTTTCCTTTCTCAGTAGATTGTTCTTTCACGCCTCGCTTGCTCTCCACCAGTTATTTGGATGATTGAAATTGGAATTTGCAATTTACAGCTGTGATTTCCGTGCAGGACAGAAACTCTGTGAAAAGCTGAGAACGAGAAAGAAAAGAAAAAAAGAAAAAGAAAGGATAAATAGTAGTTTTCAGAGGAGGAGAAACTTCTGGTTCAATTTCCTGTGGTCTGAGAGAATTTATCCATCACGCTGCTGCAGCTCTGCCCCGACACAACCCTCCTCCCTCGCCTGGAAACACTCAATCCACCACTTTGTCCGTCCGGACGACAGAAATGGGACGAGTGTCGCAACAACTGTTTTATTTGATACGGGAACCAGAGACGAGAGGAGAAACCGAGAGGAGGTGCGAGTTACTGAATGACCTCGCTCCTCCACAGCATCTCAGACAACTCTGTCTTATTCCCCATAAATGAAAAGAGGAACCGACGGATTAAATTTCACGTCTAAATCCAGAACCAATCACGAGAGACGTCTCATTAGTGCGACAGGGTTTGTTATTGTTAGATACAAACTCGACAAACCAAGAACTGATTCAATTGTTTGTTGGTTTGTCGCCTTTAGATAAACTTTATTTATCACATGATCACGATGAAGGAACTGAGGATTACTTGCCTTCTACTGGAAACATCTGGCCTCAGCTCAACGACCTAAACATAACTACAGTTAATCTAAAATTTCAAATAGGATTAACGACGGCCTCAAACCAATAAGAAAGCTGCAGGGTAACAAACAACAACGTCTCTGGATCGTCTCCAGTCGTCCTTTCGAGAACAAGGGGCTGAAAATGCTGAGTATTGCCAAGGAGCCAATTTCTACTTTGTTCCCAGTCAGCAGAAACGGTTTCATGGGCTTAAGTGGCACTTGATATTTAAAATATATAAATAAAATGAGAGAGAGACACTGTGATCTCTCTCTCTCTCTCTCAAACACACACACACACACACACACACTTACTGTGATTACTTTGGGAACGCAGCCAGACAAAGCTCTTAGCGTCGTCACTTCAGTCTGACTCTGCTTCATCATTTACTCACGACACGACACGTGAAGATTTCAGGTTCGCTCCGTTGATCTTTGGATAATTTGGTGTTTACTTTCAGAAACAAACAAAAAAAAGAACCAAAGTTTGATTTTCATTTGAAATTTTGATTCACACGTGATTTAGAAATCTAAAGTATTTGTTTTGGTGAAAAAAGTTTTAAATGATTCTTCACAACATTTTGTTTGTTTGTTTGTTTGTTTGTTGCAGGATTAAGGAAACAGATTTCACAAACTCTTCATGAAGGATGAGAAATGAAACCATTAAACTTTGCGGCAGATTCAATCATTTTAATCACTTTTGTGTCACATTGCAAGAAAGGATGAAATGTTCACAGAATTCCTCGGGGGTAAATAATCATGGATCCTAATATGAATATTTAAAGCACTGATATATGAGCGTGTGCAGATTAATCCAGTGAAAGGAAGCGTCGGGCCTCATCAGATACTCGAGCTCCACTGACTCGTTCGTTTTCATTTCATGTGACAGAAAAATCAAATTACCTGAAACAATAAAATCTTTTGTCAGTTTCATTCTCTGACTTCCGGACGCTCGGGTCTTTCAAGTTCAGTTCAGATTCATTATAAATCAAAGTTACTCAGGTGACGTCGGAGAGGAGAAATAAATCCTTGAAGCAAATTCACCGATGTATTTTTTTTTACTTTGTCTTTTGATGCTCGTGCGTCGGCAGCAGATAAACTGAGCTGATCTTTATTTGACTCGTCGCTCCGCAGGAATCGATGTTGTTCACCTAAGTGTGAATTTATTGACTTTTTACACAATTAACCAGGAAGGAAATGAGCTAATGTCAACGTGTGTGTGTGTGTGTGTGTGTGAACTCTCTGTTCCTGATTTATGTGTTTCGTAGATCAGAAGAGCTGGTGGGTTTTAACACACACACACACACACAAACCAAAATGCTGTTGCTTTGGTAACCATGTTGCCGGTTTAAAGTGACGTCACCATCAGCAAATGAATGATTAAGTGAAAATTAGTAACTTGTGTGTATCACAGTCAGTGTGTGTGTGTGTGTGTGTGTCAGTCATAAACAGGCTCCGTCTCGGTGACCTCTGTGGCTGCAGCGTGACCTGAGGGTCAGATCTGATCAATAACTCAATGACTCCTCTCAGATGTTAGGAAACTCGACCTCAGCCATTAGATGACGAGACACATTCTATACAACGAGTCCCAGCGGAGCCACGCCGCGCGGACAGGACCGTGAACATAACGAACTATTAGTATTAAAGGGTTTGTGGGTAATTAGTAAATTCACTCTCGGCACAGCAGCCAGAGTCAAACCACTCGGTCTTGAAATCACTTTATTAAATCATGTGAAAAACATAAATTCCCTGACTTCAATGTCTCAGAGTGTCGGTGTCTCTCCACGTGTCTGTCTCTGTGTGTCGATGTCTCTGTGTGTCGGTGTCTCTGTGTGTC